CATAGTGTCCTGTATACTGATTGATAATCTAAATCTGAGTGGTTTTTGTTTGTAACTGGGTCCATCAGGAATCATTGTGTAGTACTTTGCTGGAAGAACTGCCAAATTTTGAGTTATTCAGAGGTGCATCTATTTCTGAGGGACTGAGCAGTTGGAATGTCCTTGAGCTCCAGATAGAGCAGTGGACCATCGATCTCTGAAACCAAACCAGTGTGGTTTAAACAACATCTTATTCTAAATGGCATGAGTTTATATTGTAACATTTGTCTTTTGTAACACATGTTTTGTCTTAAGCTTTGTTTTGTAGAAAGGCTTAAGCTTTTCCTATATTTGATTGCATTTTTAAGAGTTTAATTACTTAAGGATTTTGATTAGAGATTGGGATGATAATAAGACTCCTGAAGATTTTGTGAAGGTTGTCTGTAAAACAGGTTTTGAACGTAGTTACTGACTTTTTACAAAGGCAGGTAGTGACAGAACAAGGGGAAATGACTTTAAACTGGAAGAGGGGAGGTTTAGATTAGATATTAGGAAGAATTTCTTTCCTGTGAGGGTGGTCAGACACTGGCCCAGGTTGCCCAAGGAAGCTGTGGTTGCTCTCCCTGGAATTGTTGAAGGCCAGGTTGGATGAGGCTTTGAGCAACCTGATCTAGTGGAAGGTGTCCCTGCTGATGGCAGGGGGGTTGGAACTGGATGAGCTTTAAGGTCCCTTCCAATCCAAACCATTCTATGAGTCTATGATAATTTAAAAACTAGAAAAACTTTTGGGAAGTTACTAAAGAAATCATTTTTTAAGGAATAAGCAGGTATCTGGTGGATTTGAATTTCATGTAGCAGTTTGAAACACTGTGAGTAACTGTAAGCCACCAGAAACTGAAGAACTAGAAGCGAAATGTCCACTTGCAACCTCTAACAGGAATTGCCTCTTAATTTAATGTGTGTAGTTTTTTTCAGTGTACTTGGTGTAATTTAATGTGAATGCATTGTAACCATTGCTTATTTAAAGAATGTGTATCGTACTGAAAACCTTATTGGAAATTTTTTTCTTTTCTTGTTTTCTCATAGTTTTGCAGGTGAAGGTGATAATGAAAAATATGAGAAGAGTGAAGTCAAAAGCAAGGATCACACTTTCCATAAATTTATGAAAAGAATATCTGCATGTCATGCACAGATTCTAAGGTATGTTGATCATCTGGTTGTAACAGGGAGATACAGAGCATAGACATAGATTGTGAGTACATACAAATAAACCATTTCATTGGAAATAGATGTGTATTTTTGTTTCTTAATAAAAAAAAAAATGCTAAGAGGAGTGTTACCATGTGCTTGGTTGGGCTATTTTATATGGAGTACGAGTAGGTGAGAAGCACACAGGTTCAGAGACCCCAGATCTGGCGATGGGAGACTTTCTTCGACATAAGATCAGAGGACAACACACCCAGACTGCCTGTGAAGACTCGCTGAAATCCAGGCACAGAGGTTTTCAAGACACAGTTTTGAGGTGGAAGTATAATACACAGTGATACGCTGTTGTGATAGATTTCCAAGGCTATTTGCCCCTCTGAAATTTTGTAACCTTATTGTAATTGCATATGTCTGTCCTTGAGATGTTAGTGAAGTAAGAAATCACTCATTTTAAATAGGCCTGAGTTCTTTTGCAGCTTATTGTGATTACCCCTTGGGATGATGCTGTCTTCAGTCCTGGTAAATCTGTTGCTTTTCCTAGAACAAAAGCAGATTTCACCTCAGAGCTGCTAGTTTCCCCAAAAGAGGAGTTAATTCTGAATTAAAGTGTTACAGAATTCAAATCTTGAATTATTCATAGCACCAGGTACTACACATACCGAGTGTTAGTTGTTAACTTCTTTGACCAGAGAGTCCAGTGCAGCCTGTCTGGTCAAGCTGTCTCAGTGTAGTGACCTTTGTTTATCAAGTTGCCAGACCCAGGTGAAATGGAACTAACTGGTACCTTTTTGATGAAGCAGTAAAGCCTGAGGGGCTGGTTACACAGATAAGAAATATTAGAAACTTTCATTAGTTACCTATCAAAGATTATACAGAGAATGTACTAATGCAGAGTGCAGGTAGCCTTTTCAGACCACTTTTTCACAGGATCTATCACTTTGCGGTATTAACGCTCTTTGAATTTTCCATTCTTCTAAAACATCACCTCTGGCAATCTCTGTGTCACTGGTTCCAATCTTTATGTAGCCCTCCCTTCATGGGTATTGCGAGTGTCTCTGTTAGACCCCCATTTCTCCTGGGCTGCCAGATCTTCATTGAGCTTCCAGCACAGAATCCCCTGCTTGGCATTCAGTGGAAACCATCTTCAAGCTTGGTTTCCTGATAGTTGTGGAGCTCTGATAGCTCTCAGAAATAAGACATCAGTTCTGTGGCATACATACAGTGGTTGTGAGACCTGTTCTATGTCGAGTATCTTTAACTGCCACTTGTTAGGATTCTGTTTTCCAGGAAAGTGTAGCTTGATTAATTAAATAAGTCAGGTACAGCATATGTTGGAGATGGCAATTCAAAGCATTTGTCTCCTTTAAATCTCTCTCTTTCCTTAAGACTCTCCAAGTGTTGACCTTTCAGCTATTTCCCCCTCCCGATCTTTATTCTTTGTCTAATACCTCATCTGAAGCTTGGGCAATGATTCTGGCTCATAACAATGTTTTTTATTTCAAGCAAGTTCAGAGGTTTTAGAGAATCCTGAATACTGTTGCCAACATTGATAAGTTTTCTGATGAAATTTAGATGCAAAAACATTTATTTTTTTCCTTTCTTCTCTTAGATACTCTTGGGGTGGCCAGCCCTTATTCATAACGAGTCCTCCAGCCAACATTGACAAAGATATTCCATCCTGCAGTACCTGTGGAAGCAAGAGAGTATTTGAATTTCAACTCATGCCAGCGCTGGTCAGCATGCTTCAGAGTGACTCAGGTGTTGACCTTTGACTTAGCTGAATGAATACTAGAAACAGTCACCTTCTTGGTAAAGTTCAGTGAACTGGGGTTTGGATTGTTCCTTGCTAACCACATGCACTGATGTGCTTGACTGCAGTGATCATCTTGTATAGAATCCCCTCTGTTGCCATTATAGATTTCACTGAGCAAAAGGTAAAACTCTGGTTTAGGGAGACGCTATGATTGCAACTTCATTTGCTCACGAGTAAACTTCAGTAACAGCAATATAGATAATTCCTTGACCTTGGGAGTAATCTGTCTTTTATTGCCTCTTAAGTGAGGCCTTGGAAAATAATAAATGTTGTCAGATAAGGTTGCAGACACTTAAGAAGCTCTTTGACAATTCTGAGTCAGCTTGCTTTAAAATCTTTGAAATTAGAAAATGCTGTGTATGTAGGAGACCGAATATGAAAAATACTTCCTGAATTGGCAAAGATTGAAGTGTGGCAATAAGCAATAGCCCCTGATTATGTCATTTCTCTTACCTTTACATTAAATACCTTTATTGCTTTGTTTTTAGATCTGTCAGTGGAATTTGGAACTGTTATAGTTTACACATGTGAGAGAAGCTGTTGGCCAACAAATCATCAGACCCCACTTGAAGAATTTATTTTTGTACAAGAAGACCCAGATCAGAAATTATTTAAATAAATTATATTTCTCTGCAGAGATGGAAAGTCTGATGTTTGGGTTTTTTTTACTACAGGTGAAAGTGTATAATTATGCAACAGGAATTTCCTCACATGTGGTGAAAAAATAAATTCATTTGATGACATGGTGCTTATTTCCAAGAATAACTGATTGATGTGTATATTAGCACAGCTCTTAAGTGTGGCTACAGAAAACTTGCATAATTTGCTTGCACTTGGAAATTTAAGCGTAGAATTGTTTCACAATTCACTTAACATTTGAGGAGGAGAGTAAAGGAGAAGGGTTGTTATTGCATTTAGTTATACTATTGGCATTCATCAGCCAAACAGGATCCAGTTTTTAGAAACTATTAACTTAAGCTTGATTTAAAAAAAATAAATCTGTGTTTTGACCACCGATTGGAAATTGAGTGGGCGGTGTCTGAAAGGACCTCGCTGTCACTACAGCCTTCCAACAGTGAAGCTTTTCTGTGTTTTCCCAGTGAAGGATAAGCTACAGCTGCAGGGTTAAGTGAGCTCTGCCAGTCACATCGCTTTGGAGGGGGAGAAGGCAGAGGTTTTTGCTAGCATTCCCGTTCTCACAGGTACAGAGTGAGGCAGGTACAGCCCCTGCCTCGTTACTGCAGGCTGGTGCTCGCAGGCTGATTGTGACGCTTGAGTTAAAACAGTTTAAATTCTTCTGTGGAGCTCCCTGTTGGTTTAGGCTAAATTGCAGTATTTTAATTGACTTAATGGAGGAGTAATTTAAATAAGTGTCCTTAAAGCTTTTTGTACAGGTTTAATGCTGCAGCGCAAATTGACGCACTAAAAGTTTGGGTTCTAAAAAGGAGTGGGGGGAGCTAAAATGAGGGAATAAGTTTGTAAACCTGTTTTTTTTTAAGGAAGAATTGTAGCTTACCAAGTCAGCTCCTAGAGGCGAGTTGTTAACTTGGTCTAACACATACAAAAATCTTAACGTGATGCCTTGAATACCGCCCGCGCTCCCGCGGTGCTGGGCCTGCGCTTCTCCCCAGCC